GTTTGATGCTGACAGGCTGGGTAGGAAAACAGCATTCAGTAAGATGGGATGGTCCCCACCACCCTCCAGAACCCCCAGATACACCACTCTGCCCACCAGAGGGAAATAAATAAAATAAACTTTAACTTCACTGGGGTGGTTTCGCTGAGGAACATCGTTTGATGCTGACAGGCTGGGTAGGAAAACAGCATTCAGTAAGATGGGATGGTCCCCACCACCCTCCAGAACCCCCAGATACACCACTCTGCCCACCAGAGGGAAATAAATAAAATAAATTCATATTTCAGCCAGAAACGCTGTATTTGGTTTCAAAGCCGCTCCTTCAAACGAGCACGTTATTAAAGCTAAGAAATGAAGAAACACAATTTTCCTAAAAATAGTGAGCTGGCGCCTAAGTCTCTATCAAAAAAAAAACAACAAACAAGGCAGCAGCTCAAGACGAAAAGGCGACGGTTGCACAAAACCCCACTTCCAAAACAAGGCTCAGCTCCGTGTTTTCACGTTTCGGAGCGCGTTGCCAGCCGGGCTCCGACAGGATTTTCCTCTAAGGCAAGAGGAAAGGAATTTTCCCCGGCTATTTTTAGCAGAGCCTGGGTTCCCTCCCTCCCTCCTCCTGAAGAAGAAGAGATTCCTACCGCCCGGAGCTCAGTCCTCCACCCACGGCTTTCATCTCCGGGTGCGGAGCCTGAGCCAGGCTGAGCCGACACATCTGGAATGGGAAGCTGGAGGAAGAGTTTGTCTTGACTCAGCTTCTTGCCCAGAAGATCCAGACCTGGGAGTTCCTCCTCTGATGTACGTTGATATTGAGGGGTTCCAGAAGATCCAGACCCAGGAGTTCCCCCTCCGATGTACGTTGATATTGAGGGGTTCCAGAAGATCCAGACCCAGGAGTTCCCCCTCTGATGTACGTTGATATTGAGGGGTTCCAGAAGATCCAGACCCAGGAGTTCCCCCTCCAATTGCATTGATATTGAGGGGTTCCAGAAGATCCAGACCCAAGAGTTCCCACTCTGATGTACATTGATATTGAGGGGATCCAGAAGATCCAGACCCAGGAGTTCCCCCTCTGATGTTGAGGGGTTCCAGAAGATCCAGACCCAGGAGTTCCCCCTCTGATGTATGTTGATATTGAGGGGTCACAGAATGGTTGGTGTTGGAAGGGACCTCTGGAGATCATCTCCTCCGACCCTCCTGCCAAAGCAGGGCCACCCAGGGCAGGTTGAACCAAAAGTTTGGGGCAGGACGAAGCTCCTCATTAACTAATGGAACCAAAGAACACCTCAATGTTGATGTTGTGCACAAAACCAAGTGTTCAGTAACACTGACCACTCCGAGCCCAAAATTCTAGGAGCTGGGGAAGGGAAGGAAGTGGTGACCATGGGAATGTCTAAGCTCCTCCATAGAATGGTTCAGGTTGGAAGGAACCATAAAGACCACCCAGTGCCACCCCCTGCAGTAGGCAAGGACACCTCCCACCAGACCAGGTTGCTCAAAGCCGCCTCCAACCTGACCTTGAACCCCTCCAGGGACGGGACAAGCACCATCCTCCAGCACAACCACTTGAGTTCCATTTTCCAGATGATTATTCCCATTTTTTGCATATGGAAAGAGGAAAGGTGGAAGCCCCAGACCTGTCATCACGTTGTTTCTGGCTGAGAGGATCCCTTCCCAGGGAATAACCTCGGTGTTGACTCACTGTAGACACAAACCGCCCGACGGGTTTCTGTCTAGACGGTCAGATAAAGGATCTGGGGAGGTTCCTGGCAGCAGGAAATAAGGTCTGGTTTGTTTTAGTGTCTTCTCTGGGATTCATTTTCGTCCGTCCAAGGAGCCAAAATCCCTGCATTAAGAATGCGCATTTGCAGCTTCTCCACCTTGAAGGGTTTCTGTCCTCAGGACACACCGTTGGGGCCACCAAGGGACCTCCTTCTCCTCTGTCCATAAAAACAAAGTGGGACCAGCTCCTTCAGGAGTTCTTGGAGAAAAGGCGGTTGGCGATGTCCGTGTAGTCAGACACCGCTAAGGATCCTGCGTCCAGGCCCAGAGGCCGGTGGGTTGATGCTGCTGGTAGCCAAGGAACCCGCTCCAAAAGATCCCCAAGCTGCTTTTCCACACCAAAACCACTCAAGGAAATCCACAGAGGTGCCCAACGTCCCATCTCCCTGCTTGGCTGCTGTGTAGACCTGTGCAGCTGAAGGGTGGTGGGTTCATACCTTCACGAGAAGGTATCCAAGGATCGTCTTTTTGGGCAGCACGCTCAAGAACAAAGTTCTTGGGATCACTCCCCAGGATGTCCATCCCTTTAGTCCCTCTGAGGACACAGAGAATTAATTCACAACAACCCTGGAAAGCCCCAGCACATCCCAAACCCAACACCACTGAGATAATCGTGTGTGATTCACAGCACAGAGGAGAACAGAGGAGTCATGTGGGACAACCTGGGTTTGTGTCCACATGGCACAGGGATGACCTCCCAAGCTATTTTAGGACATCCAAAAACCACCTCCTCCCAAACCCAACCTCCCCCTGTGCCCAAAGACCTCTCAGCCAGCGTTTTGCATGAATGACACCAGTTGAAGAGGCGGTGGCACTGGTTTCCCAGACAGGTCCTGCAAGGAACATCTCCTGAGGTGACATCCAGCTCCCCGAGGGCAGAGCTGCTTCCCTAAATCCAGCTTCAAAAGCAACTCCAGTTTTATTTAAAGGCTTCCAAAAAGCAGCTGGCAGCCTGTCTGGACCCCCACATCCAGGCACTCCCACCAGAGCTGAGGTGGACACCTCATCTACCTTGGATGGACACATCCTTCAGACAGGCTGTATTTTTTCCAGCAGAAAAAAAAAAACAAGAAAAAGCTTTTCCCCACCGGGAGGCCCCTCAGCCTTTTTTTTTTTTCACGTCAAAGGTCCAAGATTCCATGGCAGCTTTGAAGAAATCCAATTTTTACTAAGTTCTTCCTTGTCCTTGTAGATGTACCAGCTCTTTCTGCAAGGCCAAGCTGTCCAGAACCCCCAGGGAGGAACATCCTGCCAAACCTGATGATATTTTAAGCTGCTGCTTTACAAGATTAACGACCTTCTCAAAGAGGCACTGTTTTTTAAGAGATATGGACCATGGCCACCACACTAGCCATCCTGGCATCTGCTACAACATCTGTCTTCAGCTTCGGTGTAGAAAGCTCCTTCCTCCGCACCAAACGAACTTTTTGGCTGACCCACCACCCTCATCCCACCAAAGCTCTTGGCTTCACCAGCTCTGCCATCTTCTTGAAGAGCAATATCCACAAAATCACGACTGGCAGACTCATCTCCAACAGGTCATCACAGGGAGAGGAAAGGGATTAGACCTTCCCCTTTGGGCAGAACCAAGCTGCCAGACCAGGTCAAGTCATCTCAGGTGACGTCCAACACGGAAAGCCCCAAGTCCTCAACCTCCTACTCCTCAATTTTGCCTCCCATTTAGGGCTCCCTTCACCCAGCACATGATGCTCCCCCAGTCACACACCTCCCAACACACACAGGAGCTCCAAGAAGGGGTCTCCAACAGCAGTAGGATTTCAGAAGAACACAAGCCATGTTTGTTGAGCTGAGCTCATCTCATGACCTCCACCAGCAGCCAATGACCAGTGTCCCATGTGCTGGTGTCCCTCACCCCCAGACACCTCCCTCCAGGGCTGGGTGTCACCCCCTGTGGCTACATCTCCTTCCCACCACCACTGTACCCAGGTCTCCACAATGCCCCAGCAGAAGACAAGCCTTTGGCTTTCTCCAGGCTTCATACAAACCCACGTTGCCCTAAAGCCCTTCCTGGCAGCCTGGAGCTATGCAGATAGCCTGACGACGTATTAATTATTACTAATTAATCCCTCTAGTGCAGCGCTAACGAGGCTTTGGCTTTTGGTTCCTGCAAGAAAAGGATGTGGAGCCCCAAACGCTCCCACCCAAGAGCAACAGGAGCAATTGGTGGCTGGAAAACACTTCTAAGGAGAGGTCACAGGAAGCACGTTTTGGGAAATAAAGTCCCAAATCTGCTTTAACAGCAGGGCCCCTTCAATCCCCACCCACAGCAGCAGAGAGAAACCCTCCCAGGAGGCTTCACACCTCAAATTAAACCAGGGAAAAGGGGGCCATTTCCTCTTCTTAATAAAGGAATCGCTTTATTTTACTGACCCGACGAGGTTAGAAAACAAAAGCAGGGAAGCCCCTGGAGTTCACAGTCTCCATCCAGCAGCACAAAGGGCACTTTCGGGGCCAGTTTTTGGAGCTTGGAATATTTGCTTGGGTGAACTTCTGCTGCATCAGCACTAGAAGGGCTTGGTATCGTGCTTCTGGGAAGGTAGACACAAAAAGGTGCTTGGAGAAGCCTAGTGAAAGGCTGGGGACCAAGTCTCCAGACACGAGTCAGAGTGAAGAATTTGAAGGACTTTATGGAAAACACCACTTTGAAGTCTCTTCTTCTAAAGGGCATCAAAGCCAGTAAAACAGGCTAAAGCAGAGCAGAGTTTTTTATGCAAGTCAAACTAAATTTGAAGGGATGTTTCAAGAAGCCTATAATTTCTCTTCTGAAGATGTGGGCTCACCAGCTCTTCCCTAGGGCTGGGGCTCCGGGGCGGTCCCTGGGCAGAGCCACAGATTGCTGAGCTGGTTTGAAGCAGGGAGAAGCCCCACAGAGAGACAAGAGCTCTCAGGGACAACGATGACACGTTTCTGGAGGGTGGGTGACAAGGCAAAGGAGGGGGAAACTGCCCCAAACCACATCTCCTCCAAGCTCCCGAGGCAGAGTCTGGAATCTCCACTTCCACCACCGCTGGGTCTGGCTCCTGCCACCTCCTCTGTTCGGAGCCGACCGCTCAAGAATATTTATTTACTTCAAATTTTGCCAAGATTTTGAGAAACTGGCCATTTAGGAATCTATCCCCCCTCTTCCCCCCCTCCCCCTTGGAATTCCTGCCCAGAGGAATTCAGGGGAAGCAAGAGCTCTCATTACACAGCCGGGCTCTGACCTTTGTGTCTCGCAGACTCTGGCTTCGGCGATTCACTTGGCACTTCCACGGGTTTCCATAAATCCTTTCACCGCTTTCCTGCCAAAGTTCATTTCTTTCAGATATTTTTAATTTATTTACAGGGCTCTCCGCCCTGTAAATACCCAGGCAGACCCACCGGAGACCACAGCTGCCTCCAGCCTGCTGTGGGTCAGACCCAAACCTCCCATTTTGCCCAGTTCAGCCACCCAGAAACCGGGAGCTGCGATAAGGAAACGGCACAAGCTCCCCTCACGTAATTAATCCCATTTATTTCAGCCCCTAGTTCTGCTTTTAACCCGCCTTTAAGGCACCGTAAGACAGAGACACCGGGTGATTTTAGAGCAGTTTCATCTTGGAAATACCAGTGGAGGCGACGCGGTGATTTTTGGTTATCCCACCTCGCCCCTGGGGAAATCTCAGCGTCTTAAAAGGGAGGCATCAAAATAGAGATTAAGGCAGGAAGCAGCTGTAGTTTGAGATCAAGAATGTAAAACAAGTTTAAAAACCCAGATGTCAGGCTCCCTGGGAAGCCTTTCACTGGTGTCTGGGCTGGTCCCATTGGCACCAAGTCTCCAAGTTCCTGGAGAGGAGGAAAAAGAAGCCCCACTCTGTGCACTCCAGCTTGGAAAAATAAGCTGTTTCTAAGTCCACCACGGTGTGGGGACATGAAATGACCAGGTAATGTTCTTCAATTCGGAGGTGAGGATCATGAAGCTTGTTTAGAAGGAAGAGAAATGGAACAAAGTCACCCAAAACCTAATGCTGGGAGGGCTGAAGCCCCTCTGCTGGGAGGGGGGGCTGAGAGAGTTGGGGGGGGTCAGCCTGGAGAAGAGAAGGCTCCGGGGAAACCTTGGAGCCCCTTCCAGTCCCTCAAGGGGCTCCAGGAAAGCTGGGGAGGGACTCTGGATGAGGGAGGGGAGCCAGAGGAGGAGGGGGAAGGGTTTGACCCTGAAAGAGGGGAGATGGAGCTGAGCTGTGGGGAAGAACTTGTTTGGTGGGAGGGTGGTGAGAGCCTGGCCCAGGTTGCCCCGAGAAGCTGTGGCTGCCCCATCCCTGGAGGGGTTCAAGGGCAGGTTGGAGGGGGCTTGGAGCAACCTGGGCTGGTGGGAGGTGTCCCTGTCCAGGGCAGGGGGTGGCACTGGGGGGGCTTTAATGTCCCTTCCCACCCAAACCATTCTATGATTCTAAAAACAGGAGACTTACAGACTCAAAGGATGCAGAGTTAAGATTTGAACACATTAATCCCCTCCACAGGCTGGGGAGAAGGTCGCTCCCGCTCTGCTCTATATCCATGGACCCTCAATGATCCCTTGGCCACACAGAGCAATCAGGATATTTCCTGCTATGAGAGAACATCTTATTCCCACCCTGACTGGATAGAAAATACCTGCATGGGTCAGGCTGGACGACTACTACAGGTGTCTACGAGGACAACCAAGAGATGATTAAGAGGAGCTTCCATCAGAGAAGGCAGGAGGAGCGACTGGCAGCACTAGAACACAAGACTTGTGGCAGATGTTGGGCACCACAGACCGTAGGGCACAGGAGAACTTCCCAGTTTTGCTTCCAGCAAACTCCAGCTGAAACCCAGTCCTGGAGACGGCTCCTCAGGCAGCAGCACCTTCCCACGGAGCAGGATTTGCTGCTGTATTTTTAGCCCTTTTTACAGTCTGGAGAATAAATGAGACCCAAAGACCTTTGCTGAACGTGGGGCTTGAAGTTTCTAAAGTTGAACAAGCCCCCAAGACCTGGGGCCACCTCTCCTCACACCCCACCCCAGCACAGGTCTGGAGCCAGCTCAGACTCTGTGGTTCTGCAGAGCACCTTCTCCCTCAATCGACTTCATTTTGCCACAGCTAAATCCCAGGGAGAAAGGATCAAAAGGCACCAGAGGCTGATTTGGTTTTGTGAAAAGTAAAATAAATGGAGATTAAGCCTGTCTGAGACTCAAACGCTGCCCCAGAGCAGGGAAAGGATTAGGAGGAGCCACCACCAAGGAGATGAGTTACTAACTCTCTGCTAAGTCGTTGCTTGAAGAGTTGTGATCCTGGTGGTCCCACAGCAAACCTAGGGGCTTCCTGGTCATATCCCTGGAGAACCAGCCTTCTGTGGGTCCGTGGAGATGAGCCTTGGACCAAAACACATCCCACAGGGCAGAGCTTTGTGTCTGCTGGTGGATCCTCGTGCTGGAAATATGGGAATTGCTCAAGGTCAAGGAGGTCTCTGGGCTGAAGAGGCACCATCTCACCCCAGAGCTCTACTCCTGCAGGGCTCCAGGCTTCCACCAGCACAGAAACAGGCTGCAGCTCTGAAACAAACTGTCATCTCTCTGGATGTTACACACACCAAAGGGAGACATCAGAGCTCCAGTGCTGCTCCACAAGGAACCGGGGCTGCAGGGTCAGGGACACCTCACACTTTCATCTGGGGCTGGACCCAGACTCGTGTTGGGTCAGAGCTTCCATCATGGAAAGTTTTCCAGGGTTACCCTTTTGGAAGCCAGTATTATCCCCACTTCAGGCAGTGTCTTGTGCGAGTTTTTGGAAGCTGGAGCTCTGTCTGCTGTTCTCTGACCAAACAGCAAAGCAAGTATTTACCCAATTACATGGTGGAGTTATTTCATACCGAGCAAAACCCACAAGAGCACAACTATTTGGCCACGGGTGTGTGAGACCAGGGGAAGTCTGTGTTACATTAAAGCCCTGGTGTGGGATCTGTCCTCTCCCTCAGCAGCAGAGGGGGGTGCACTGGAGGTTACCAGAGCCTGAAGGTCCAAACTGGGACCATGAGCTTCTCTGGTTGTGAAGCTTTAGTCCCAAATAGAATGATAGAATGGTTTGGGTTGGAGGAACCTTAAAGATCCTCCAGTTCCACCCCCTGCCCTGGGCAGGGCCACCTCCCACCACACCACGTTGCTCCAAGCCCCCTCCAACCTGCCCTTGAACCCCTCCAGGGATGGGGCAGCCACAGCTTCTCTGGCCAACCTGGGCCAGGCTCTCACCACCCTCACACCAAACAAGTTCTTCCTCATGGTGGGAAGCTGGGATGCCCCTCCCAGCAACATCACCACCCTCCACCACAAAAATGCCAGGCATCCTGCGTTCAACCAAGTCAAGCATCAGGTCGCAAGTGACCTCTCAAGCTTCAAGTTGTCCCTATTTTGGGGATGTACATTGTGTTCGAGACATGCCTGTGGTTCCCACCCAGCCCCAAGGCCCAGAGCAGCAGGACACCACCACAGCCACACAACTATTGAACATGCAGGATGTTCCCACCTACCACAAGAGGCACAAGGTCATCAGGATAGAAGCAGTGCAGGAAGGACAACCCTGCTGTGAAGCCCTCCCTGGTCCTCAGAGGAAGCTCCACCATGTGAGGTGTGCTCCATGCCCACCTACACCACACTCCATAAGTGCTCTTGGCCCTCCAGCCAGGAGGTGTAGACCTAAAACCAGGAAAGGACCTGCTGGAGATGCCCCATGCCGTATTTCCCACCACAGCTGAGACCCCCAAAGCTAGAAGAGGTCACCCACCATGCAAGGAGAGGACCCCACCAGCATCCCAGAGCCCTGGGAGAGGTGGGAGCAAAGCTCTACATGCTGCAGGACAACACCAAGACCTTTTTCCAGAGTCCTTCATTCCTTCATGACACCATGAAAGTCCTCCCTCTGCCCCAAACAAGGCAGAGGGTCTCCAAGTAGGACACAGAGGAGACTGAAACACACCTTACAAGGAGAAAGACTCACACTGAACTTCAGGAACCTGACCAGGAACACTCTTCCCACCTTTCCCTTTAGCTGGAATTACAGACCCAGGCTCCGTAGGCAGAGCAGGAAAACCGATGTGGATGCTTTCAGCAGCCTAAAAACCTCCCACCAAGCTAAAAATATACAGATACTGCCTTCACCCAAGTGGCCTAAATAAGTGAAATCGGGGAAGAACCATTCCTGCAGCAACAGAATCTCAGATGGGAATGTGGGTGAGGGGCTCAAAAAACCCTGGTGGATATTCCAGCAGGAACAACCTGGATATTCGGGACGGCAAAGGAAGCTCCAGCAACTTGTCCTAAAAAGAGAAACTCTCACAGAACTGTGACATCCAGCTCAGCCCCTCAATATTTTTTATATTAAAGCTCACTCTGCACCCAGCTTCAAGAAGAACCATCTCTATTTCAGCTCTTTAATAACCACTTTGCTTCCCCCTCCTCCAAGAAGCTTCTTGGCTTCCCATTCCCTCCCCACAGACACAGGACCCCGCTGCCCAAAGTCCTCCGGCGCGGAGCGAAGCAGACTTGGGAGTTACAAAAACCTCCAGTTTTGGCAGCCGTTTCCCAATGATCTGCACGAGAAGGAATTGCTGGACTGGCCAATATCCTCAATAATTAACCGGCATTTCAAACCACAAAGAATTCCTTGCCACAGATCGAGGAGGATCTGGCAACTGCCGATGCGGCTGCTGCAAGAAGCCTGGAAGAGGCAAAAAAAATGAGCCAACATCAGAGATTTAGGGCATATCTGAGCTGGAAAAGCCAGGAATTTTCTACTAATAAAAATGCTGGGAGGGCTGGAGCCCCTCTGCTGGGAGGGGGGGCTGAGAGAGTTGGGGGGTTCAGCCTGGAGAAGAAAAGGCTCCAGGGAGACCTTGGAGCCCCTTCCAGTCCCTCAAGGGGCTCCAGGAAAGCTGGGGAGGGACTCTGGATGAGGGAGGGGAGCCAGAGGAGGAAGGGGGAAAGGTTTTAAGCTGAAAAAGGGGGGATTTAGGTGAGATCTTGGGAGGAAATTCTTTGCTGGGAGGGTGGTGATATGTCCCATCCTTGGAAACACCCAAGGTCGGGTTGGAGGGGGCTTGGAGCCACCTGATGTGGAACAATGGACCTGTCTAGATCAGAAGGAGCCTTCCAAATTGAGTCTAAAGGTCTTGAAGTCTGAAGATCCTCCAGGGATGGGGTTTGGTGGGGGGGAGTGGTGGGATGAAAGGGAAGGGGTTTGAGTTTAAAAATGGGAGATTTAGGTGAGATCTCAGGAGGAAACTCTTCCCCCTGAGGGTGGGGAGAGCCTGGCCCAGGTTGGCCAGAGAAGCTGTGGCTGCCCCATCCCTGGAGGGGTTCAAGGGCAGGTTGGAGGGGGCTTGGAGCAACATGGTGTGGTGGGAGGTGACCCTGCCCATGGGGCGTGGACTAAACAGCCTTTAAAGGTCCCTTCCCACCCAAACTATCTAATAATAGAACTACTTTGGAAAAAACCAGGCAGCACTTTGCACTGGGTCACCCCCAGCAGCCTGGCAGCCACCCTACAGTTTTCCAACGTTGGAAGAGCCTCCATGACAGAGACCAGCAGGAAAATCCTCTCCACACAACAACCAGGGTGGCCAAGAAACCCGTCTCCATCTTCCCCTTCAACCCCTTCTCTTTCTAGGAAGAGCCACACCAGGAACATCCATCCTCACCCAAGGCTCCCAGACGCGAGACCAACCACTCTCCAGCTCCAGGCAGGTTCCCACAGCTCAGCTGACTGTAAAAATTAGTGAGAAATGGGCATTTTATCCCAAACCTGCTCTCCTGACCACAGCCAAAAGCACCCTGGGTGTGCTCCATCCCACCACTGCCACATTCCAGCTGGGATAACCTAGTTGGCGCGAGCCACCAGAAGCGAGAGACGGGGAATCCAAGTTCCTGGCAGGATTTCCAGGGCTCCAGTTTTACCAAATACATCCTTTTTCTAAGGCTGGAGTCAGCTCCGAAGCAGGGCTGGGAATTTCTCCCTAGTTCTCACCAAAACCTGCCCTAAAACCCCTTCGGAGCAGCGCTAAAGAAACTCAGTTGCCCTGTTTCAGCCCAAAATGGTGCTGGCTGAGGGCTGAGCACTTGCCTTCTGGAATGATCCACAGTGTGTTAAAAAAAAAAAAGGGGGGAAGAGTTTTTCCCTGCAGCTCAGCAGATGAATACAGCCATCTGCATAGCCAAATTAACCATGGTTGGTTAATTAAAGCTCATACGAGCTACAGGTGGCTGCTCCAAGGGGCCACGCCAGGAACATCCATCCTCACCAAAGGTTCCCAGACGTGAGACCAACCTCTCTCCAGCTCCAGGCAGGTTCCCACAGCTCAGCTGACTGTAAAAATTAGCAAGAAACGGGCATTTTATCCCAAACCTGCTCTCCTGACCACAGCCAAAAGCACCCTGGGTGTGCTCCATCCCACCACTGCCACATTCCAGCTGGGATAACCTAGTTGGCGCGAGCCACCAGAAGCGAGAGACGGGGAATCCAAGTTCCTGGCAGGATTTCCAGGGCTCCAGTTTTACCAAATACATCCTTTTTCTAAGGCTGGAGTCAGCTCCGAAGCAGGGCTGGGAATTTCTCCCTAGTTCTCACCAAAACCTGCCCTAAAACCCCTTCGGAGCAGCGCTAAAGAAACTCAGTTGCCCTGTTTCAGCCCAAAATGGTGCTGGCTGAGGGCTGAGCACTTGCCTTCTGGAATGATCCACAGTGTGTTAAAAAAAAAAAAGGGGGGAAGAGTTTTTCCCTGCAGCTCAGCAGATGAATACAGCCATCTGCATAGCCAAATTAACCATGGTTGGTTAATTAAAGCTCATACGAGCTACAGGTGGCTGCTCCAAGGGTTAATTAGCCAACACTATGATGGAAAACTTGCACCAAGGAAGCTCCACAAGCCCATGCCTTGGCCCAGGAGGTGCCACCTCTGAGTGACACTGAGTTTTCCAGCTGCAGCCACACTCCTGAGGACCTCGGGGAGCTCCTCATCCATCAGGATCACCTAAAACACAGCAGGGAAGTGGAGGGGGGGGGACCAGAGCTGCCAGGTCTGGGGTGACCAGTACACAAGAGACTGGGACACCCAGGAGAAGGCTCAGGGAAGGGGCTGCGAAGAGGGTTTAAGGATCAGAGCATCTATCACACAAGGAGAGGTGGGATCATCCAGCCTGGAGGAGGCTGGGGGGGAATCATATCAACACCTACAAGCACCTGGTGGGGGAGGGAATAAAAATTCAGCCTCTTCCCAGTGAGAGGACACAAGGGAAAAGGGATGAACTGGAACACGGCAAATCCTGTTCAAGCATAAGAAGAAAAAAAAAACCACCCTGAGAGCTTTATTTAGCACAAAAGTGAACACAGACCAAGCTGCCTGCACATAGTTTGGAGTCTCCATCCTCGGAGATACTCAGAGCCCAGTAGGACACACTCTGCTCCCAGCAGAAGGCAGGATTAGGCCATTTCCCGAGGTCTCCGCAACCTCAGCCACCCCAAGGATCCACAACCACAAGAACTGGCTCCTTCTCCCACTAAAAACCCCTGGACAGCAGCAAAAATGTCCCAGGTAATGCCACCCAGTACAACAGCACCACAGAAACAAAGAGCATTTCTGGAAAACACCCTTTTTTCCAAGGAAGGGAAAAAAAAAGCCCAGAAAACCAGTTTTCAGCAGAGAAGAGTCAATTCCACTTGAACAACACACTGCATCTTGTCTACGTATTTCAGCCGAGCATCATTCCCAGCCCTGCAGTCGCTGCCTACCACAAAGAACAGGCTTTTCCTGACATCTCAAGTTCCTCTACAATTACCCGCAGCCCCGGGAGCAAACATCTGGAGTTGTTTCTTCCAGAAAGCGGGACCACGACATCCCCAGCTGAATAATTTCCCTTCCTACCTGCGCTGCGGATCCTGCCACAGCACACACGGGTCACCAGACATCGCAGGGGGGACGAGGGTGGTTTTATTTTCCAAGCTGTGGGAGGCCTGCACAGTAATTCCAGAAAAAGAAAAAAAAAGAACCCCCCCCCCACTCAATATTTCTAATTCTGTGAGTATTTCCATCACTTCAACCCAGAGCTACAGCAGGAGACTCTGCTGCCACCTTCTGAACTCGCTGTCACTGCAGGTGCCCCCAAAACGAATAAAACCAACTTGTTTCCCCACAGTTATGTCACCAAACCAAGGGAAGGGTTGCTTTGGCAGAGAAAGAGCTGACCCCCCCCCCCCCCCCCCCCTCCAGCTGGAGCTTCGCCTCCCCCACGCGACACAAAAATGGGTTTAAACAAGAAAAACTAGAGCAGCCAAGGATTCAGGCAAGGCAGAGGCAGGTTGCAGCCCTCTGAGGCGTTTGTAGTGCGCTAGTTCTGATTATAATTGACACAATATCTCGAGAAATACACGAAACAGATGGGTGTACAGAGCACTCCCAGTTTAGCACCACAGGCAGCAGAGCAGACAAGCCAGTGCTGCTTCACAAGACATTTAAAACTCTCTCATTAACCAGCCAGTCTCGTCGGCAGCCTGGGCAGGGAAGCAGAAGGGTAAATTAAATTAGCCCCCGAGCTTTGGTGGGTGCCAGCACTTTGGCAGAGCAGGGGGAGGGGATGTACCAGGGCTGAGCATGGCAGGGGGGGAGCAGAAAGGCAGTGAGGCCACGGCAGTGCTCCCCCCCCAAGCTCTGCACTCACACAGAGATTTGTTTTAGTGGGGGGAAGCACAGAATAGGTTGAAAGGGACTTTAAAGACCACCCAGTGCCACCCCCTGCCCTGGGCAGGGACACCTCCCACCAGCCCAGGTTGCTCCAAGCCCCCTCCAACCTGCCCTTGAACCCCTCCAGGGATGGGGCAGCCACAGCTTCGCTGGCCAACCTGGGCCAGGCTCTCACCACCCTCACACCAAACAAGTTCTTCCCCACAGCTCAGCTCCATCTCCCCTCTTTCAGGGTCAAACCCTTCCCCCTCCTCCTCTGGCTCCCCTCCCTCATCCAGAGTCCCTCCCCAGCTTTCCTGGAGCCCCCCTTCTTTAGGGACTGGAAGGGGCTCCAAGGTCTCCCCGGAGCCTTCTCTTCTCCAGGCTGAACCCCCCAACTCTCTCAGCCCCCCCTCCCAGCAGAGGGGCTCCAGCCCTCCCAGCATCTCCGTGGCCTCCTCTGGCCCCGCTCCAACAGCTCCATGTCCTTCTGCTGTTGGTGGCCCCAGAGCTGGAGGCAGCGCTGGGTGGGGGTCTCCCCAGAGCGGAGCAGAGGGGCAGAATCCCCCCCTTGCCCTGCTGGGGACACAGCCCAGGCTGTGGGGGGGTTCTGGTCTCTCCCCATCTTCACCAATGTCTGTCACCTCTTCTCCTGCCACCATCTGAGGTCAGAGCCAGCCTGATGGCTCCCCTCCTGCAGGGTGTTGGATGAAAAACCCTCTTTTGCTCTAATTGCCCGTGAGCTGGAAGGACACGAGGGCTGTGTCCTGCCTGCAGCTGGGCTGGGGGTCATCACCAGTCCTCCTTGTCCCCCATACCCTCTGCTTCTCCATTCGTGGTGGATGCAGGCACTTATTTTAACGATCCCTCTGTCTCCCCGGAGCCTTCTCTTCTCCAAGATGAACCCCCCAACTCTCTCAGCCCCCGCTCCCAGCAGAGCCCTGGGGAGTGAGGTCCCAGCCCTCAGAGCAGCCATACCAGCAGGAGGACACTCAGCTGGGCCGGGACCAAGCCTGAAGCCCCCAAAAGGAGGGGACAAGGCCTCGAACCACCCCCGGGGGGACTCCAGACCCACCAGCCGCGGGGCACAGAGGGCCCAGCCAGGCAAAGCCCAGGGGATGGGGCAACTCCAGACCCGGAGCCGAGGGAGAATCGCTCTCCCCGGGACACAGCCGGGCCCCGCAGCGGCAAGGAGCCCCAAGGACACCACGCTCTCACCTTCTTGCCTTTCTTGCCCTCCTCCTCCATGTCTCCGGCGGCGGCGGCCCGGGCCCCCCCCGGGGCATCCCCGCAGCGGCCGTGCTCTCCCGGCCCGGGTACGTGGCGGGGCTCGACAGCCCGGCCTCACTGCCCAAGGGCGGCCATAAAACCCGTCCGGGGCTCAGCCCCCCCGCTCCCCGTTCGTCCGGCCCCGCCTCAGCCCCACCGACAACTTTTCAATCCTGCCGCCATCTTGGGCGGCGGCTTCCCGGCGTGCAGCGCGCGCCCGCCCGGAGGACTGACGTCAGTCCTCCCCGCCCGCCGCACTGCGCCTGCGCCGACGGCCGAGTCCCCGCCCACCCCATAGCCCTGCCCACCCCCATGGACCCGCCCACTTATATAGCCCCGCCCATCCCCATAGCCCCGCCCACATCCATTAACCTCGCCCCATTCCCATATAGGGCCGTGCGCTGAGGCCACGCCCACCTCTATGGCCACGCCCACTCCCCAACCTCGCTCCGCCCCCTCCTCGCATGCGCACAGCTCCCATCGCCGCCAGGTGGCGCTCCCCCCCCCCC